GTTTGAGGCTGCGGTGGCCGGGAGCAGCCACTGCACTCCAGTCTGGGCAACAGACTCCAACTCAAAAAAAAAGAACATAATGAAGGCAAGTTGTGTACGTTATTAATAAGAGCCAACGATGATAACGCATTTTGAAGTCTAAGAGGGAATGTGTTAGTTTCCCAGGACTGGTGTAACAGGGTACTGCACACTGAGTGGCTTGACCCAAAAGGAGCCTGGCTAGGCATGGTGACTCATGCCTGTAATCCCAGCACTTGGGAGGAAGAGACAAAAAGATTGCCTGAGCCCAGGGGTTCGAGACTAGCCTGGCAACTTGGTGAGACCTCGCTTCTACAGTAAATAAAAAAATTAGCTGGGCATTGTAGCGTGTGCCTTTAATTCCAGCTACTTGGAAGGCTGAGGTGGAAGGATTGCCTGACGCAGCAGATTGAGGCTGTGGTGGCTGTGAGCATGCCACTGCGCTCCAGCCTGGGCAACTCAAAACAAAACAAAACAAAAACAAACATAAGAGGAACTTATTCTGTCACAACTGTAGAGGCTGGAAGTCTGAAGACAAGGCGTTAGGAAGGCCATGCCTCCTCTGAATGCTGTAAGGAGGGAAATTTCTTGCTGCTTCCTTTGTGGTTTCTGAGAATTCTGAGGTTCCTAAGGATGACCTTAGCATCACTTGGCGTGTAGATTTTCCACTCTGGTCTCTGTCTCCACTGTCACATGACATTGTCCCCTGTGCTGTCTTCACATGGCCATCTTCCCTCTACATCTTTATTTTTGTATAAGGACAACAGTTATATTGGATTAAGTTTCCCACCCTACTTCTTTGTATTTTTTTTTTTTGAGTCGAAGTCTCACTCTGTTGTCCAAGCTGGAGTACAGTGGCATGATCACGGCTCACTGCAGCCTCTGCCTCCTGGGCTCAGGTAACCCTCCTGCCTCAGCCTCCTGAGTAGCTAGGACTATAGGTGTGCACCACCATGCCCAGCTAATGTTTTTGTCTCGCTGTGTTGCCCAGGCTGGTCTTGAACTCCTAGGTTCAAGCAATCCTTCTACCTCGGCCTCCGAGGAACCTCAGAATTCTCAGCACCTGGTCAGCCCACCATCTTTATGTTCTCATCTTAACCAGCTCTACAGCAGTTCTATTTCCAAATAAGGCTACAGCTGAAGTATGCCTTTTTATTCTGATGTTTTGACATCTGGGGCCTTACTGACCCAGGGAGACTGCCCCTCCCTAGGCTAGCCAATTTCTAAAGGTATTAAACCCCAGCGGGCTTTCCTATGGGAACTTTTCAATCCAAAGTCGCTTACCTACCTGCTCATTTGCCTCATCTCTGGGCTCTTACACTACAGGCTAACATTCGGCCCTGATCACCCCAGGCCCAGGCATCAGCTAACTGAGGACAGCTCCTATGCCCTAGGGCCCGGAGCACCACTTCAACCAGACACTACTAAGGCTGCTTCCCCCACTCACTTCTTCCTGCAGAAACCACAGAAAAGCCTCGTGCCCACATTTTCTCCTTCCTTTCTCCTTCCTCTGCCTCTTGTCTGGCCCTGTTGCCTCCCCATGTGGCTGTACGTGGTGTGTGCCGCGCTGTTTCTAGGGCACTGTAAGTCAAAAAGGCCTGTCATGTCCCTTCACAACGGTTGTTAGTTGCATGTCTTACCATACCTGATTATAGCAGATTACAAGGACAGTGTACAACAGTCACATTCTGAGGAACTAAGGATTAGAACTTCAACATAGTTTTTTGGGGGAATGAGAAAATGCAGTTGAACCCATAGCAGGAAACAGCCTGTTCGCTGAGGTTGTACTTGCCTTCCATTGTGGGGCTGTGACCCAATGAAGTTAACCACGAGTGGACTTGAAATGGGACGCATGAGGAGAGGCTGGGACAGTAATCTCTTCTTAAACACAAACTGAGGGAAGGTGCTAATTGCAGCCACACTGAGACTACCCCATCGAGGAGGTGCGAGGAGATTAAAATAATAGGGGGAAAGATTGCTTTTCCTCTTAAAGGTGGCAGAATATGTTTAAAAATTCTCTGTTTGACAATCTTGAACAGATGAGCTGTTGTCATTGTTGGTTTTGGGAAATATATTTGATTCTGTATACTCTACTAACTTTTTTCTCTCTCTTTTATAGAAAGCGGCAGCCCAGAATCTCGTGTTAATGCTATCCATTTCTTGGTACACAAACTGCCAGAGAAAAATAAAGAAATGTTGGATATTTTGGTGAAACACCTGACAAAGTAAGCCTCTTTTTCTCCCTTGTCACTTTCCTCACTTTGCTGTAGTTGCTGGGTAGTGATCTTGGAATTCAAGAAGTTGGAACTGGGCTATATCCATAGAACCAGGGACCACACCTGGAGGGCAGGCCGGGTTATAGACTCATTGTGTGTGCTTTGGACAAGACTGTTGAAATATGATGCTCTCATGAAGTTGTGTAACTGTTTGCTTAACATTCCTGCCAGCAACTCAGGGTCTGATTTGAAGGAAAGAAGAGAATATTATACATGGCCCCATACACAGGTTCTGGAAATGTGATTATAAGCGTGATAGAAAATTTAGCCTGGCTTCACACTTACCTAACCCTATGTTTGGACACGTCCTGTAAGTTTCTTAATTCAGAAATGGGTAGTTATTTTATAGGCTCCATTCTTTTCTTCCTCTTTACAAAGCAAGCTACTTTGAATAATTCAGTGATGTTAGCCCTTCAAATACAAATGCCTCTCAGATCACTATAAGTGTAGAATTTTAGAGATAAGAGGAAGCTGAGGACCACTATGTTTTAGACCCTTTATTTTACATAAAAAGCAAATGAAAAGCCAGAGATATTGTGATTTGCCAAAGGTCCTACTGCTAGGATAGGCATTCATTCATTTGGCCAACGAATATTTAGTGAATGTCTTTTTTAGGTGTCAGTGATACAGGGTTGGACAAGATTGTCAAAGTTCTTACTTCACAAAGCGTGATTTCTTAGAGGGAAAGATGATAAACAGATTACAATTAAAAATATAAAATAGTTTTAGATGATAAGTGGCAAAAACACAAAGCAGAGACGGAGATGGAGAATACATGTTGAGTATGAGACTATAAGGAGGGTTATTAATGGAAAGTCTCTTGGGGGATGAGTTTTTGGGTTTTTTTGAGTTGGAGTCTCACTCTGTTACCCAGACTGGAGTGCAATGTCCACTCCCGGCTGCTGCAGCCTCGACCTGCTGGGCTCCGGCGATCATTCCGCCTCAGCCTTCCGAGTAGCCGG